CCTGCTCCCATATGTTTAGTCGTTGTCGGTCTGCTATAAAATAAAATGAAGTTAATATTAATCTCACAAACCTTTGAATATTCTTACTTTGAAGCCATTAATAGATGTATTCCAAACTAATACAATTGTTCGTTGCTTTGAAAAAAAAATAAAATAAAAAAGCCTATTGTAGTATTGATAAAAACTATATCCAATATTAAAAAATAACACTCATGTACGGATAAAATTTTACTTTTTTAAAAGTATTATATTGTGCTTTTACCTGTTTCGTGAGACTATCTTAATTGTATGAAATAAGCAATAATAATGATGAAAAAAAAAATATTAAAATAAGAACGTTAGGTTGGCTTAGATATATTTCGTTTTCATCCTATTCATACATGTGCGTGCACTGACCTGAAACGTACAATAAGAGAAATCAGTAATTGAATAATGTAAAGATAGAAAAAAAAGTATCCATATTATATCTTTTCATCGATATGTATGTCAAAACAAAAAAACTAACGAAATATTTGAAATAATATTGTGTTTTTATCTGTTTCATGAGACTATCTTAGTTGTATGAAATAAGCAATAATAATGATGAAAAAAATATGAATATAAGAACGTCAGATTGGCATAGATATATTTCGTTTTCATCCTATTCATCTATGTGCGTGCACTGGCCTGAAACGTACAATAAGAGAAACAAGAATCGAATAATGTAAAGGTAAAAAAAAGTATCCATATTATATCTCTCTACTGGTATGTATGTTAAAACAAAAAAACAAAAAAAAACATATGAAAATTATGAAAAGTAGAAACTAGACACGCCTTTTTCTCTTATTATTTAGACGTACTATGACGTAGAGGCGGACAATTCAAAATACTTTTATAGATTGACATATTATCATCTTTATTTTCATACCAGAATGAAGTTGAATAGTACTATAGTAGTTGCAAAAGTTGTTGTTTGCATCTTTTATTTTTCCCCTTTCCAAATTTTTCAAAATCGTGTAAGTGATTAATAATGAGATTGTGCGTATTTATGTTAATAAATATAATATATAGGTGAGTGTCTTGTGATATTTAGAAATCAAGTTGTTTTCAATACAAACTAAATACGGTAAAATTGTTAATATATTTTTAGTTTTTTGAATAGATATCATTATATTGATCGAAAAGATATGAAATAAATAATGGGAAATTTTTAAAGACGTTTTAAAACTTAATTTCGTATTTTATCAACATATTCTAATAGAACTGATTGATTTTTATTAGATAAAGATTTCGAATGAATTTGAATTAATTTAGAAAAAAAAACAATACAAATTAAGAAATATATTTTATAATTACATCTCAACGTATGATTCTTTTACTTTACATATTTAATTTGTTGAATGATCTATACTCACATCCAGCCAGTATTTTGGATGAAGCTACCCATTTTCTTAGTCGATATATTTCTCTCGCAAGTGACCTCATTCAATGCATAAATATGTTGCTAACATTAGTTATAGTTCATGAATCTATTCTCAAAAACTAAAGTTTCAAATAATTTTAATTTTATCTTTGAGAACAAAAGATATTTTTCCTCAGTCACATGTATTGTTAACAGATTAGTCTGAAAATATTTAAAAAATTGATTTCATCATGAAACTTAATCATTTTTATTAAATATTTATCAACTTGAACTAATTAGAATTTCATAAAAAACATTTATTTCTATTTACAAAAATCTTTCAAATCCTTCTTTTTATGAAAAAGCAGAAAATTGAATTAAATATGATAAAGAAATTATCAAATACTTATTTTAATTTTTTTGAAAAATAAAAAAAAACATTACTTTGTAAGTTTTATTGGAAGAAATCAGATAAAGATATTTTCATTTTACCAAAAATCTTTTAAGATAAAAATCAAATTTGAATTTTCTATTATTTCAATTTCGTTTTCATTTTTCTTCCGTCATTTTCTTTTCATTGAAATGTAAATTTTTATTGATTTATTTGAAAACTTCTTTTCATTTATTTCATTTTCAAGCTTTGATCGATTTTTTTCACATTGTTTTTTTTTCTTTCTACTATATATTAATCTTTATGAAAGCACCTACCATAAAGAATAAACAACAGATTGTAGATAGGAAAGAAATAGATATTCTTTGACTTAGAAAAAATTACCGTTTCTTTTTCTGAAAAAGAGAAAATGAATATTTTTTATTTTTAGAGCCAATGAAGAGCGAGTATTTCACTTATTTTGCTACCTGCAACGCATTTTCTCTTCTTTAATATACGTAGAGAAACTATGAGCCATGTAGACGGTTTCATTTGCAGAATACGTTCTTGTATATAAAGAGAGAGAAATAAATGAGTAAAAAAATGTTAGTTTCTATGGTACCGTTGTTTTACGGAAGTGATATCATTAAATCATTCGATTAATAGCTTCCGCTAAAATATTTTTTGTAAATAGATCACCCATAATTTCTTGTTTCAACTAATTCAATATCGCTGTGAATATTAACATGTATATAAAGAGAAAAAAGAAAACTATATCGTCTCCTTTCTAGTCGGAAAGAAAGAAAGTGAATAGAGTTATTTCAAAAGAACCATACTTTGTAATACTTATTGAAATAATCAAACATTTGATGATTATTATCATAAATACAAAGGAGAGAATATTTTATACTGTTGAACAATTTAAAAAGTTTTCTTAATGATGTCCTACAAAGTGTTTTTAAATTCATTATATACCAAAAGAAATTTTCTTCCAAATATTTCATTATCTGATGTTTTAAAGTTTTGCCGCTACTCTAAATGATATTATTTCTGATCTCTCATAAAAAATCGAACGTAAAAATAATATATGAGAAAATTAAACTATTCATTGACAGATGTGTAGTAGGAGTATTACTTTATCTTCATTTTTCTTTAAATAAAGAATAAGGAAATTTTTTTTCTATCGAAATGTACTTTTTTTCTTGCACTAGTTCACACACAAAATTATTATATTATATAGTTAACTATAATATGGAATAACACTCTCCGTATGTTGCATTTCTTTTGTGATCCTTTTTCTACGAGATGGCATATGAAAATGATGATGATAAGAAAAAATACTAGCTAACGTATTCTATTGATATATAAGGTATTTGTACATGTACTTATTGCACGAAACAAAGTATATTTATTCTTCATCTCTTTATCTTTATCTGTATACTAGCGGAAGTACCCGATGTTGGTTCAGAACATTCAAGGCCGAAAACTTCATATGTTAGAAAGCGACAAGAAATCCAGAGAGAGTTGTGCTCAAAAATTTAAATCTATCGTCACAACATATCTAAAATAGAACAACTCAAGCTGTGGAACACTCTAAAACCACCCGTTTTTTACAGATCTCGTTGCAAAATCCATTCTTTTTCTTTCAGATCCCCTCCAACTCTATCTCCGCTTCATTTCGGACCTAAAAAGGCTTAGATTTCAGGTTAAACTTTTATCTATCGCGAACACGCACACATCTACGATAAAGCACGATAGTCTAACGAATATTGTGTGGGGATGATTATCTTACTTCTATGTAACACAACCAGACTAATGCGAAAATGTAGAGATAGGTGGATACTCTGCAGGTCGATCAAATATGTTGAACGAAATTAGATTAAACTTCAGCCACCTTCTGTCTCTCGACTTCTTCTGTACATAGTGAAGTGCTATGAACAGTTCGGTGACCTCAGCTATCGCATAACCATCTGGGAGAAATTTCACCCAGACACCCTCTCTCAACCCCTATCAGTGTCTCCTACCCAACGGGGAAAGATCGAGAATCCGGATTCCCGAAGATTTCATAGAATAGTTTTGAATTCCAGATTCCTCTCATTCGTCATTGCCCCAACTTCTCTCACGACCTTCGATTGGATCTTGGAAATCACGATGGAAAGTTTGGTGACGTTAGTTATCACAAGATTAACTGGGGGAAATTTCGTCTAAATGTTCCCTATGATAGCGCTAACATCATCAAACTTCCCACGATATATCTCTAGGTCCAACAGAAGGTTAAGAGGGGGTTGGCGCCACTCGAGGAGGGCTGAGTGAAACTTAACCCACATCATGATAGACTGCGGTTTCCACTGATATCCGACAAAGTTTTGACAAATTTGACTGATTTGTAGTGCATCCAGCTACTACTCTCTATTCATGGTTGGTGTACGTGTGACACAAAGGAGTGTAGATGAGTAAAAAGTAAGGCACGTACATCCTCAAAATAGCGTCCGAATGAGATTTCTAAAACAGAGATGAAGTTGAAGCAAGGCTTAATTAGTCTGGACTGAAGTTGGAATTGCAGCGGGGTCTATATATTATGGAATTTGTAGAGGAGTTCGAGTGGTACATAGCCACAGTGGTGTCACCGGAATATGCATGACGGACATGTACCGGTAATAGACGCAAAGCGTCCAAATATATCCCTGTCTATATCTTCTGTCCTTTTCTAAGCTGCCAAGTATACAATATGGACGTTTCTCAACCACCACCAAGTGTCTCCGCTGGTTCTTCATAAAATAAAGATAAAATAATACCTCTAATGCGTATCCTATTCGATTAGAGTGCGATCCTTCCGTACAAGAATGTAAATGTAGAGACGAGAGTGGGTGTAAGTATTTCTTAGGTATGCATCCTGACTCATACTTATAAGATAAAGTTTAAAATAATACTATAAATAAAATGAAGACTTAAGGCTGGTAGTTAGACTAATGAGTAACAAGTAGAGGTGTTATTGATAAGACTCGATTGAATTCTTGACTCAAAACAGGTCGCACATGTACATGTAGCGGGGCAACGTTTCATCCTTCAATGCACCATTGCCGTTCAGGAAACCATCATCTTGAGGACCTGGGTATGTGAATGAGGACTATTTTATCCCTACATATACACCCACATCTACACCCACACCCACACCCAAGATGGTTTGCATGGTGAAGAAACAGAACACAGTAAATATATTGTTTTTTCAATTTTTCAGATTATTTTATTATGAATTTCATAGCTGGTCTTCGAACTATCAAAGAATATCTTAGTAGCTTGAATCTTTTCGAAAGTTCAGCTGGTCTAACTAATCCACATCGTTTGCGTACTGAAATTATATCAACTCGAATATATATTGTTCTTGCAACTATTGCTGTATTTATACTCGTTTTGTTTACTGCTTTGGAAGACACAACGCAAAGCATTACTATTCGAAATCCATCTCAAGATACTTTTGATCAATTCTATTCCGAATATTCAACAACACTTCAGTGTTCATGTAGTCAAGTAGAAATACCATACAAAACTTTAATTAATATATCATACAAGTTACATCCTGTATGTTCAAGTGTATTCATCTCCGATTCTTGGATCAGTCTTCTATTTAGTTCTGATATGGGGTATTACTATCCCATAGATTTTCGTTCATCTGGTAATGGTCAATTTCAACTTCTTGCTTCACTCTGTTTATTTGCCAAACAAACGTTAAATAATGCAATTGATGATTTTCTTTCTGATTTTCTCTTGAGTCCACTGACTCTTTCATCAACATCATTCAAAAATCAAAGTGAAGCAAGTGCCGAATTTTTGAAAACCTCAACAATCTATACATTTCGTCGTCTTCTAAATCTGGTGCGTGATACAAGTCTAATGAATGGTTTACAACCAGCAATGCAAACATCATCGATGGAATTATTAGAGTATTTTTCCAATGGCACGCTGTCTCCATTTCCATATCAAACGATTTGGTATGGTGATTATGAAAGAAAATGTTTTTGTGGTATTACTTCAGACTGTTATGAACAAGCTGCCTTTTTTGATTTATATGCTTATGAAACACATGGAGTTTTTAAACAATTAGATTCTCTCGAAAATGTAACCGGATTTCTAGTTGGATGTTATGCTTTTGATGCACTTCTTCAATCATCACTTATTTGTTTCTTCGATTCTATATGTCTAAGTAATATCTTAGCATATTTTCCAACAATTAATATTACTAGTGATAATATTCTTAATATTAATCAGACACAGTTTGAACCCAATACGACCATTGAAAAACTGGCCGATAACCTATTTGTTGAAGATTGGTCAATAGAAACTTTATTTAGTGCCTATTATACTAAATGCGCTCCAATTCTTTGTATCTATACATTTACAGAACGCAACAGCTTTCTACAAGTTTTAACAACTTTATTGGGTGTTTATGGTGGACTTACCGTTGCGTTACGTATGTGTATTCCATATGCTGTTCGTTTCTGGTGTAATCGCAAGGTTGCGAATCGAAATGAACGTAAGAAAGATCGTGTTCCTTGTTACATCAAATAAATTAAAATTTGTTTTTTTTTCAGTTACTATATTGCAGCGTCTTCGAAATGCACAGAATACGATGAAGAATAAAATAATTGAATTGAATCTATTCAAAACAGCTACAGCACGTACTAATCCTTTTGAACTAAAGACTACAAAAATTATTACTTATGTCTATCTGATTACAATGCTACTTGCTCTAAGTATTGTAACCATTTATTTATTGGCATCAACTCAAGTCCGTACTGAAACTATACAAAATCCATCTCAAATGATTTTTGGAAATTTAAATGAGAAATATATGAGTACACTACAATGTCCATGTAGTTCCATTGCTAATTCTTATGAATTATTTACTTCATTATCACCTACCTTTCATCCTATATGTTCAAGTTTATTTTTATCTGCTGATTGGATTGTTTCTATATCGGATATGAATATACTGTATGCAGCATATGATCCATTAGATTTTCGAGTAGCTGGTCCAGTCTTTTTCAACGCTATGCACACATTATGTTCTCTTTCAAACATAACTATTTATGATACTTGGTACGAATTTAATCAATCACTATTAATTACTAATTTAGTAGTAACGGAATCAGAATTTGAGACTCGAACAAATGTGACAATTGAACAATTTCAAGAAAATACATTAAATGAATTTAAACGTATTCTCTCACTTGTTGATTTACATACAAAAACTATGTATAATATGGGATATGAAAGTGTTGAGCTTTATACAGATCAATTAGCTACTAGTATAACACAAGTTGATTTTCGTTGGGAGCCAGTAGAAACAGATACATGTTCATGCAGTCCTAATGGTCAATGTACTGATGTAATGAGTTTCTTTTATTATACTGGTCTTGATAATACCTCACCATACTATCTAAACTTTACAATATCTGATCTACAAGTTGGTTGTTACGTATTACC